TAATAAAGCTAAGCCATCCCTCAGTCACACACCTCCCGTGATACTTCTAGGAGGGTGATGTGAACATGCTCTTTCATGTCTGCTGGCTATGCTCTGCTGTCGTCCACAACCCAGCAGGGCCACCTCTGACTGTCACTTCATCAGCGGGCTCCCCGCAGCGGCACCAGAGCTGCACATGGCTTCCCGTGGCCCTGACACACAGCTCCTTGGCTTCTTTGTTGGTTGCATCTTTTGGCCCTAACCTAACGGTGCTGACTTCCCTCACAGAAGCCACCCATGCCTGGACCCTCTCTGAGCTTCATGGCTACAACTGGGCTCCACCTCTTCCTCTCCCACAGCACATCCCGGAGGAAGCACAGCTCTGATCACCAGGCAGCTGGGGTGTGGAATACCTGGGCAGCCAGGTGTCCCTGGTGTGCTGCCCCCTCCAGCCTGGCTTCCCTTGGAGAGGCAGGGAGCGAAGGTCAGGTTGGCGCACAGAAAGGGACAACAGAGAGTGAACCAGGCCATGCCTGACCACAGTTTCCTCTGGGCCTGCTCAGCTCCTCCCCCAAGGTGGTCACAGGGGACTCAGGGGACCGGAAGGGCCTCTACAGAAGCCTGGCCCCTGTACAAGCCAGGCCCAGATTTCTGTCCTTATTCCTGGGCCACAGACCTGCCCCCCACAGTATCCCAGCCACAGCTTTGGCCTGTCTCACTGAGCCCTGCCAGCCTGCTGGAAGAGCAGGCAGAATCAACCGCTGTCTGCCTGCCCCACCCCACCCCCTGGTCAGTGCGCAGGACAGGGGCCACATGGCCTGGAGGGTCGGCCTCCCACCACGGCTGCTGCTGCTTCTGCTGCTGCTTCCAGGTGAGAGGGTTGGGGGAGCCAGGAGACAGGGCAGGGGGGCAGGCCGGGTGGCACTGTGCCCCTCAACTTTGTTCCCCAGGCTCCCGGGTGTGCTCAGACATTCAGGTGCTACAGAGAGTGGCAGGAGAGACGCTGAGCGTGACATGTAACTACCCGTCCCGCGGCGAGTCCTACGTGAAGAAGAGCTTGTGTCGCCAGGTGACAGAGTTCATTTGTGGCAAGATGGTCCCCGGTGCCAGCGCCAGTGCCCAGGGCCAGGTCCCTCGGCTGTCCATCAGGGACTATCCTGCAGCCGGCCACTATGTTGTCTCCCTGGCTGGGCTCAAGGAGGAGGACTCTGGACACTACTGGTGCTCCATGCACCACGCTTCGAGCCACATGGTCTTCAATTCTATCAAGTTCTACCTGGCCGTGTCCCCAGGTGAGCCTCGAGGCCCTCACGGGGAGCCTCTACTCCTTCCGGGGCCTCCATCCCCCTGCTTTCCCAACTAGGAAGCACCACCCACCCACCCAGCCCCCAGACTCCTATTCCGGCGCTCTCCTGGCCCACAGACGCCTCCACAGGGCCTGGCAGAGCGGAGACCACAGATCCACCTCGTCCTGACCCAGGGGATGCCTGTCCCATCCTGGGCCCTCCACCCACGCGCTCCTTCCTCTCCAGCCCCCACCCCGGCTCCCAGGACTACCTGCAACCCCACCTCCTCAAAGGGCCAGAGCTCTGTGTCCCCAACAGAGGAAATCACCAAGGCTCCCGAGGCTCCATCTGCCTTCACCACACCAGCACGGTGAGTCCGGCATCAGAACCTGTCCACACCTCCCTGCTCAGGCGGGATCTGACCAACCCACTCCATTCTTGTCTCTCCACCTCCAGGCCCTGGAATGCCACCCTCTGCCCTGGCCCTGAGGTCCCCTGTGCCCTGGATGCTGGAGTCTGTGGACTCTTTCTCACCAAGAGCCTGGTGCTGTTGGCCCTGCTGTGGTGAGGGGGTGGGGGCTTGAGACTGAGGGAGCTGGGAGGGGCAGCAGGGACAGCTTCTGCTCCTGGACAGAGGCCACAGGGCAGGGGAAGTGATAAGTGACTCCCGGGGCCTCCAAGCCTGAGCTCCAAGCCCCCGTAGTGTCTGTCTCTCGCTTTCCTCTCTCTCAGCCTCTTCCCTCTCTCTGTTTTATTTCTCCTCCACCTCCTCCTTTCAGGAACGCTGACCTACACAACCCAAAAGTCCCCCACTATCCCCCACCTGCCCAGATACAGGAACCTCCCAAAGCCATCCCTGCAGGCCTCCACCCACCCTGAGTCCTGAGGGAGAACAGACACAGGACAAAAGCTGCTGCCTACCCTGGGAAGGAGACATGCAAGGAAACTGAGGCAGGGTGGTAGAAAAGTGTGGGTGGGTGGAGAGGTCTGGGAACAGCATCAGGCCAGGCCGGCAGTAGGCTTAGCCAGGGCAGAGGCTGTGGGGAAAAGGAAACGGGGTCTAATAATGGTTTAAGTCACTTCATCTAGTGGGGCACAGTGACATGGGCCTGTCACACCAGTGCCTGGGGGGCTGAAGCAGGAAGTGGGGTCTGAGGCCAGCCAGGGCACTTAAGTGTGACCTCACCCCAAAATAAAAAGTGATTTCGCCCATTTCTCTGCTGCTGGCGTTGCAGGACCTGGTGGAGCAGACGCGTGCAGCTTAGAGGGAGCTCTGCCACGGGCCCACAGTGCTGCCCTGAGCCCCAGTGTCCCCCAAGCCTGGGCCCCCAGGAGTGCCCCTGACCTCTGAACCCTGCAGCCGTGCAAGAACAAGGCCAGAGCTCTGCCGCACCCCTCGCGCCAACCCAGGGGTCCCCCTCAAGACCTGCCTCCAGCCCACACGGATGGGCCAGCATCTTCTCATGGTAGCAAAGCCCCATGTGTGTGACATCTCAGCCGCACTCCCTAAGGCCCTGGGACCCACGCTCTCCTGCCACATCTGAGACAGCAGGTAGCTGGGGGAAAGGGAGGCCCATCTGGATGGGGCCCACTCTCAGGGCCAGCACCACCTTCTGAATCCAGCACTAGCCCAGGGCCAGGATGCTTGAGTCTAAACGTGATGGGAGACAGCAGCCAGCTGACTCTGCCGGGCACAATCCCTGCAGGAGCCAAGTGCTCTTCTGTAACCCGTGTTGATCTTCGCCCTGATTACCATATAATTACTATGCAAATCTGACCCTGCCTCCTCTGGGCTTCCGACACCATGACAGTTCTCCGAGGATCATAAGAGATCACAAATTCCACGTCCCAACCAAGGGGCCAAGCCAAGCCGCTTATTACAGGAGTCACACATCAGACCAAACCCTTGATCCCACCCCAGACCCTAAGGCCTAAGACCAAGCTTGAGGCCCAGTGCTCTTCCCCTTGGCTGCTTCCATCCCAGGGAGCAGACTTTCACATTCAAATAAATCTTTGATTCTGCTGCTCCTCTCGAGTGTCCTGCTCAGTTCTTCATTCAAGAACTTGGACACCACCCCAGATCTGGTAACACCATCACCCCCTTTCTGTGGTGGCCCCTTGTGAAAGAAACACCTTAGGCACATATCACAGAGCAAAGTGAGCCAGGAGGCAGGGACCCTTGAAAGTGCCTAAGAGGCTCTGAAGGACCAGCCCTGCACCCTGGATGTGAGACTGAACAGCCTGGGCCCGCAGAGCCAAGCGTGAGAAAGGCAGCTCCTGCACCCAGTGTGACTTCTCTTGTAGAGGGGGCCCAAGCCCACCTGTTAAAGGGTCCAGGAGTTATCTCTCTCCTGATTTCTCAAGGGGTCAGATGAAAGGTGTAGTCTGAGGTTGGACATGGTGGCTGGTGCACATGTGTAATCCCAGCACTCTGAGGGACTGAGGCAGGAAGATGGCCAGCTCAACCCCAACCACAGCCCAGGTACAATTTAACAATTTGGCAAGACACTGCTCAGAATTTTTTTTTTTTTTTTTTTTTTTTTTTTTTTTTTTTTTTTTTTTTTTTTTTTTTTTTTTTTTTTTTTTTTTTTTTTTTTTTTTTTTTTTTTTTGCGGAACCGGGGATTGAACTCAAGACCCTTGCGCTTGCCAGGGAAGCGCTTATTCCACTGAGCCATCTCCCCAGCCCCTGCTCAGAATTTTTTTAAAAAAAAATTTTTACAAGGGTTGAGAATATAGCTCCGGGGCCTGGGGAGACGGCTCAGTAGCTCTTCCCTGGCAAGCGCAGGGCCTGGGCTCAGTCCCCAGTGCTAAATAATAATAATAATAATAATAATAATAATAATAATACAATTTAGCTTGTGTGAAGTGGGGAGGAATTTTAGCATGAGGGATGCCATGCTGGTTTGCTGTGCCGGGCAGGGAGGTGGACCTCAGCACAAACCAGTGACTGCCTATAAATAGCCTAGTGCCACCACCAGGGCCCCTACTCTGCCCTGTCATGCCCTGTCACCCCATCACAGTGCCCCCCATGCTGTCCTGACTGTGGTGGCTGTGGGCTCTGCCATGTGGCCAGGCTGGGGACCAGGCTGACCTGGCCAGTCCTTGTCACTCTGAGGAGCTTCCTCTCTTCTGGACACTGTCCTCATCCCAGCCCCTGGTACTGCTCTTACTTCCTGGGCCTCTCTCCTCAGAGAGAGGAGAAGGCAACCTCTGCTGTTTCCCATGCACAGGGAGGAGCTGAACCTCGGGCTGTGGGCTCCAGCCACGGGGCAGGATCTCACACCAGAGTCCACCCTCCCGAGCCACACGGTGCCCTCTGCTCTGCCGGCCCTCCTCCGCATCTCAGGGTCCCCATCCAGCAGAG